TGGGACACACACACACACACACAACCCCGTGACAATATGCGTTTTGTAACGCTGTTACACAGCACAGAACGCGTAAAAACGAGATAAATAGAAGTATTACAGAGGTACTTGAGAGCATGAGCCGAAACGAATGTTGGGATGGCCAGAAAATACAGTGCAGGCCAACAGCAAATGTAAAAGTTGTTATGTCCCACTTAATTAAATATCCAGATCATTCATTCACCCAAAGTCCCCTTGAGCGGGGCTACAGTCCATAGTAGGTGCTAGACCTGTACGGGTGGTGAAACATTTGGTTTGGTTGCACTTTGCAGTCGGGTTAATGACACTCTGAAGTGTAGCTGTTAAAACTATCGAATTATTTTAAGACCACTCTGTAGTGTGCAAAAATTTCGCGCTCCGATGTTAAAATGTAATGCTGGGAAACAGTGCAAACTCGACACTGCTTCAGTATTATTTATTAGCGTTAGGAACATTGTCATAAAATAGTTAATATTAAAAACGAAACAAGTGGAAATTAGCAAAACTGTATTGTCAGGTGATCTCCGGAAAGTGAGCGGAATGCGAAGGCTGAGGATTCTTTTCCAAGTTGGTATAAGGCATAAAAAGTAAAAATTGTTCTTGTAAAAATGTGCTATTAATGGGTTCATTTGAAAAATGCTTCTACTGAGACACAGAGTTACAAGCAATGAATTTCGAGTAAAAGCACAAGTATACGAAAGCTTAAATAATCCTAATGTAAAATATGTACAGTTCTAATTACAAAATTACATAATGTCTTTTTTTTTCTTTTTTACCCTATGATTCAGGAATGCCAATCGCATTCCTGTGTGCTTACAATTTTCCTTATTTTTGTCCTACCCTTTTTTTTCATACCTAAAAAAACCATTTCATTTTCCACTTATCATCTTTCTTATCTTCTTTTGGTCCCCTACCCCTATTCCCTTTTCCTTTATCATCCTCTTTTATCTTCCATTTCCCCAAATTCCTAAATTCCCCCAAATTATTACATCATCTCCTGGGGCGGGCCCCAACTCCCTTTATAAACCTCTTCACCTTTCTTCTTGGTCTCAGTTCTTCTTATCAACCACGACGACTTCTTCAACCCCGGCACGCCAGCTACGATTCTCGCCAACCCTATCTGTGGACACGACAGATATTCGTCTCTCTTCTCGAAAGGACTATTCCCCCCTCGGAGTCCTCCTGCTCAGCAGGCCACTCTGTTCGTCGGAACCCAGACAATACGCCTGTGTATTATTGCTATTGTCTACGTTGCAGCAAGACATAAAGTTTATCATTTATCTAACTGGGCCTCCAGTCTACGCACCACGCCACATATCGATCCACATAAGCAAAACAACCCCATCACATAAAAATTTTTACTCTAAAATGCTTCAGTTTACTGCTTGTAGAGAGCTACAAGCAGTAAACTGAAGCAAGCAGTAAACTGAAGCATTTTAGGATTATTTAAGCTTTCGAATACTTGTGCTTTACTCGAAATTTATTCGCCTTTCACCTCTCCGACATTCCTCTCAATCATGTGGCAGTATTTCCGCATCAAGGTTCTGGCCATTTTACGAGATACTGCGCATCACTGCCGTCGTTATCGGTGCAGTCAGCCATCCATCTTTTTTCTGCTAGAAAGCAGTCTTTTAGCAAAACAAATAGGGGCAACCTTTATGTGGTTCAACAGAATTCGCTTCTTCGACAGCTTGCACCAAATTCGATTCATTTATACTCCACTTCACTTGAAGAGAAGTCAGCGAGTCGAACTGTTTCTCAGTGCCCATCGAGGGACCTGATTCACAACGACCATGCGCTGATAAAACCATCTTGGACGGCTCACTAAAGCTAACAGCATTCTGAAAAATGGCAGAAATATAAAAGAAAAAACACAGTAAATTCAGGTTGTATTTTGTAATATTCGCACAAAATGCGAAATACCACTGCTAAAATGAACTGTTCACTTTAATAACATCTGTACTGGGGAATGTTGGATATCAAGTGACCAAACGAATGCTCAAAAGAATACTAAAATACTTCACAAGAAAATAACATCCCCATTAATTTTTCAAAAAAAAAAAGTTATTTTGCTGAGCTTCATGCATTTAGCACTTCTCAAACAAATCATCAGTTTAACACACCAAAGAGGGCAATCAGAATTTGAAAAAAAAAAAAATTCTCAGGCAAAACATGCATCGATATTGCAAGATTTTTATCAACATAAGGCTTCTCCTAACTGTCGCACGGTAGGCACGGCAAGGTTCGAGACGGAGTGGTGCATAACAGACATTATTTGAACATCTCAAGATGACTAAAATCTTGGCAAACGCTGGCAGAAGAACTGCTGAACCGGTGCTGCCTTCAGCAGATGGAAGGAACGTTAGGATCGCAAGCGGGCTGACCATCAAATAACACACCACAGGTCAAAATATATGGAAAATTTGCTAATAGCACAAACATAGTAACAAATCGTGAATTAACGATGGACATACTATCGAACTAAGGCTTACAGTAACCACAGGAATGATCGGTAGCTAAATACAGGGCAGAGATGTGCGCAGCGACTGTCAAAGTAGTTAAGATGAGCAGGACAGCCAACAATACGAAAAGGAGGGCCAATAAGCAAATAAATCAGTAATTGAGCAAATTAATAATTTAAAAAATAAACGAACTGAGAAGCTAAACAAATAATTTAGAAAACTAAATATGCTGCAACAATGAATCAAAATAAATAAAGCGTGCCAGAAATCCTTGACTTTTGAACAGTTCACTACAACAAATGACCCTTTTACTGAAAAAAAAATCATGTAAAATGGCTAATCCATAGCAGGAATTTCGAAAAACTCAATGAGAAAAGCTGAAAAAGATGAAACACTTACACCGGCTGGACAGCGACTCTGATGCGGCCTTAGCAGTGACAGCGACAATCGATCGGGCAAACCACAACACAACCTCATTTTGACCTCAGCTCTAGCAGGCAACGGATTTGAGGAAGTTGCTTCATTACCAACAACAATAAGAATGGCCTGAAAAATGAAGCAGTGCAGTTTCAGAAGCAGAAAAATCGAGTTTAACTTAGCCAATAAGCAAATTTACCTGTCACGATGCTATTTTTGACAAATTTTGTTGCTCCATTTTTAAAAGCGTGTTAAAAAAACCTTTCTCATCTCAACTGACGCGAAAACAGACAGTTGAATTTAGAAATAAACACTTAGCTATATTCAAGTTTCACGCAAAACATATATTCAAGTTACACATAAAACTTACAACATCGCCTTTTACATTTCTACAGGTGACAGTGTGTCCGTCAGTAGTGCTATCAGTGATAAGATTCGAATCTTTGCTGTAGAGCACTGAAAAAGCATGTTTTTTGTTAGCACAAGAGGTAGTTAAATTAAATAAAAAAGACTGTAACAGTGCGAACATAACGAAATCACATTTCGAGAAGAACTTCGACGAATCCACAATCCACGGTCTCGGACCACCAACCGTACGCACAGCAAGATGACTGCCAAGAAGAACAAGCACTTCTGTTGGAGTTTCCAGCTGAAAACACAAAAAATATGCAAAGAAGCGAAAGATTAAGGAAAAATAAGTTCCGAACATTTTATTACTTACTATTATTTTAATCATTATTATAACAATAATTATTATTGTTATTGTTTACTGTCATTACAACAATTGAATTTAATGCAATTATAATAAACAGTTAAAATTATTATCTATGCCATTATTATTAGCATTATTATTGTCATTATTACTATTATTCATATTATTATTGCTATTTTTACCATTATTATTACTATCATTATTATTATCTATGCCACTATTGTTGGCATTATTATTATTGTCATTATTACTATTATTCATATCATTATTACTATTTTTACCATTATTATTATCATTATTGTTATCTATGCCACTATTATTGGCATCATTATTATTGTCATTATTACTATTATTCATATCATTATTGCTATTTTTACCATTACCATTACCATTATTATTATTATTATTATTATTATTATTATTATTATTATTATTATTATTACTATTATCATTATCACTATCATTACTATCACAATTCACGTGTATCTTAGCTACATGCAAGCAGTTTCAGCAGCCCACAAAGTGCGATTCGCAAGGAAATCAGAACAAAGGAAATGCGATAAACAATATGCGGGTAATTCAATCGTATGCGAGCTGCCTATGTAAGAGCTCTACGCCAATCATTTAGAAATCATTTTTCTGCTACAAAATTGCCTTGAGGTGGAATGTTCAGCAATAATATTGCTGATTGCTGACAGCTTTGAGTTGATTTAAATGTATCACTGAGACTAACAAGTGGTGCTTCTGCACACCAAAACAGCGAAGATGTAATCGGCACAGGCTACGTGGCGCCACAGGTAACTACGTGGTTTTTATCTTTTCTATCATCCTTTCTTACATTTTTCGACAAAATTTTCACTCAACCTTGAATAAGTTAGATCACAAATGTTCACCCTCTTTTTTAGTCTATTTATTGAGCAGCTACTTGCATTACTGAAATTGGATGAACTGAAGAATGCTTCTAATAAGAAAAAAAAAATGAACGAACTCTGAGAGGTGGAAAAGCCGAAATTTGGAGTGATGCAGACATGTTGCCGAACTGAACCATCACAGTGGTATCACCCGATGCAAGTGCAGTGAGAACGAAACTCGAACAACCATCACCATAGGGGGACTTTTCCTGAGTTCCATCTGAAAATCCCTCAATCTATTAGCCACTGCAATTCATTTTAATGGTTTTACACACCATATACCCGTGCACGAGATAAAGATCAAAATTTTCATCCTATTTTACCAAGATCATTGCAAATCTAGCGAGACCTGACAGACATGCAGTAACACCACATTTTGTTTATTTTTATTTGGAAATGAAGGACCCCCAAAAATGAAATTTTCAAATCAATCTTGCTCAACTTGCACAACTATGGTTTCATAAATTAATGTAAAACCCCAAAATGCAGTATTTGAACGCAAGATTTATACCTGTTTTCATCTTAAATATGCTGTTGTCCATTATTTTTATTAAAAATTCCACGTGGCGACAATCCATTATTGAAATTTCTCCAAATTTTCCGGTGGCCCATAATTTCACATATAGTGTCAGGTCAGTGCCAACCTGAAGGCAAAAAAGCTTTGAACTAAAGTTTCGCAAAGAATGCGTAGATCTCCATGCGACACCAAAATAAACCCACTAAGGAAAAAAACTGAATTTGTTGTTTTTCCAATAATTTTTCATTTACGTCACATTTTGTTTCTTTTTTAGAAATGAAGGACCCCCAAAAATGAATTTTTTTACCCTTTCCCATTACCGGAACTTGGCCCATCAACGAATCAGTTCGTCCTTTCGTTTATTTATCTACGTATCAAATTATATCGAATCTCTGCTGCATTATCTTTCTTAATTTTGGCTTCTTGTTTTCATTTTTGAAAACAAAATCATTTATAAAATCACTGAACTGTAGATTACCTCAGCCTCAACACGTGATTTCCCAAAACCAATCCCAGTCGGCTGCACCACTTGAACAATTGCTTTACCAGAATGAGCATTATTCTGCACATCTCTTGCAAATATTTCTGTCTCGCCCAGCTTTCCAGACAATAAAATGCCATTTGGATCCACAGAAGCAATTTCTGAATGAACACTTGACCATACAAATGACCCGGTGCCACCTTTTGCCTAAAGCAACATGGCTTTTATGCAATTTTCTATTACAGCAAAATCAATTCGTACCCGTAATGCTCATATTTTAAGAAAACAACTTGAAAAAGTCATAAATCTTTATCATCAAACAAATTAGTTCGTTTTACTGTAAACGATGCTACAATCCAGAAAGCCAAAATTACAACAGTTTATTTTTAAAAATTTCCAGAAGAAATACCTAAATCGGTTCACAAAATGGTTGTTGGTGAATGTGCCACCCTTGGACTACTTACACGGATGCCGTCAACTTTCTTAAAAATTTCTGGGGATTAAGCTCTGGGGCTTTGAGATATTCATTTAGCTGTTTAGCAGTGTACAGTACTGCTCCATGTAAATCTTTAAGCGCTTTTCTGTGCTCAAATAAAGCAACTTTTTCATGAAATGAAAAAAAGTGAAAAATTTTAAGAAAAAACAAACCGTAAGCTTCTGCGAATGAATTGTTTTGACGTCAACGTACGGGAATGCAACAAACGAGGGCACAATTTCTATTGGATCCGATATTGTGGCAGTGGCTTCACCGCGTACCGATGAAGGCATCCTTCTTTCATTGCCATCCTACACAATCCAAGTACATATACAGCAATCCAAAAGAAGAGTAACGAAAAAAGACGCTAAATCCGTCCTCCTTTAACAAATCCACGTGAAGAGGCCAATCAAAGGCATTGCATGAAAACTCACTTGGTCTACAACTGAGACAAAGGTCGCCTGGATACTAGCAGTGCCACTTTTCATTGCTTTCACATGGAATTTTGCGCCATTTCGTGATTTGTTAATGAGTTTGAAATATTCCTCTGGTACTTTGGTAGCGAAATTTGCATTCTGTAAAATTAGCGTGATTGTATGAAAATGAGAAGTTGAAAACCCAAAAAACAACTACCTCGGGTATGTACATTGGATTATCATCACTGTCGGCAATAACCAATGAAATATGATATTCGCGATTTTTTTCCAAGTACCACGAATCGCCGCTAATTCTGATGTATAAGCTGTACGGCTCAACCACATAGATATGAGCGGATGGAGGTTTTAAGATGCTCAGCATCTTTACATCTGAAAAAAACTGTAACACTGGAAAGCTGCTGTCAGGTGAAAACTCAAACATGTTGAGAAATTTTAACATGAAAGACGGTAGAGTAACAAAAAAAAAAAAAGGAATTCGAAAAAAATTTTAAAAAAGTTAAAACCTAAATTTTCACCTCTTTTATTAAACTTGTTCTAATTCGAGAGTAAAAATTGTAAAAGTTGGTAAATTTAACTGCCAGGATGAAAGAAAACAAGGCCTGTGAGAAGAGAGAATGAGATACTGAACTAAATTGAGGACTGTAATTTCACGTTTTGATAAAAACATGAAAACTGCAAAAGCAGATCGAACCAACAAATTTGGTATGCCAAGTGGTTAAAAAGAAGTGTGTACAGGCAGCCGATATCGAATTAAAGCAAAATTTTTCCAGCGCAAATTCACATAAAAAACAAACTTTCATCAATTAATGATATTTCAGTTGCTCCGAAATTGATGGCAGTAAGTTTTGATGACTGCGGATCCAGTGAACAAATGTTCGTGTCCCTGACGACCAAACTATACTGCTTCAAAGGTAGACGGAGAGCTGAAACGACATTTTTTAACAGCAAACAGTAGGTATTAGCAAACTGCAGCATACCACCAATGAAATACTGTAATTCTGTCTGGTGTAAACGAAATAATCAAAGGTAAAGTACGTCAGGAAGAGCTGAACAAATTATATAGCAAGAAAGAAAGATAACAGATGGATCAGTGGATTACTGAATGGTGGAAAAAGATGCGAAGGATCTCTTTGCAGTGATCGAAAAATCAGCCAGAACACCGGTACATGAAACTGTTTGGATGAAAGAAGCAAAAAAAAAAGAGAAAAATGTAAAAGTTGTTAGCTGCGTCAATGGTAAAAATCGCGAAATCAATTTCTATTTTTGTTATTGCACAATTGAAAAACTGTAAAAGGCGTCAAAATCAAAATGCAAAAGTAAAAAAAAAAAATAAATAGCATCGCGCACCAGACTAGCCGGTGCGACCATGCGTTTTGTGCAATTCAGCCCATCGAACGAT